CTTTTTCGATTTTATCCTTCCGACCTAGATCTTCTTTCTACACTTCGAAGGCTTTAAAACTTAGAAGTCTTAAGATCACGATAAAGACGTCCGGCAATTTTGAAGATCTCCAATTTCGAGAGAATACCGTTCGAGATCCGACTAAAAGCTCGTAAGAGTAACAATCGTAATACCGTTTTATCCCGAGGGAAGGTACAAAGGGATAGTGCCTTAGACGACGACTTTCGATATTCAAGAAGAAATGGCCATAAAAATGATTAGGATCGATGTGAATTAAAACGACTGTTTCTACGAATTCTTCGAAAGTACATTTATATATAAAAAATCGTCAACTTTTTTTTTTTGATCTAAACGATATCTACGAAGATCAAATAATTCGATCCTCACATCTCATCCTTTCAACCGCAGAGTAATCCCCTTTTAAGCCGCAAGAGTAGCGAAGTGCGGCGGCCACTCGAACGAGGAATGTTTCAGTAACGCACTCGACGTACGTAACAAGGGGAGCAACAGAGGGACGAGTGCAACAGAACGATATCACTACTTCTCTCTCTCTCTCTCTCTCTCTCTCTCTCTCTCTCTCTCGTGCGCGCGCGCGCGCGTTCTCAGTAAACGAGTATTCTCGAAGCAAGAGGCGTGCCTGAATCCCTGTCCAGGATATCCGTTCGAGATCAGTCTCATTCGTTATTCCTGGATTAGAATCTTGAGTTCCTTGTCGACCGTTAATTCGACGATGATTAAGCTCTCGGTACGTCGATAATTACGCAAGCGCGAACTAGGAGAATGTTGATAAACTTCAGTTACGAACCATTATATGTATTCGCATTATCCGTAAACGCGAGAGAAATATCTAAATCGAGAGCCTTATTCATCTTCAAATTCTCATTCATTTTCTTTATTTCTTTCTTTATATCTTTATTTCTTCTTTTTCACGATTCATTCGAGCATGGTTATTAATAATAGTGTAGAACGAAAAAAAATATAACGCGATAGAAAATCAAGGGTATGGGAAGGAAGAGGAAGAGAGAAAGGTAGGTAGGTAGGTAGGGCGAGATGAAAGAGGATAAGCGTGCGGCGCTGTTATCAAGAACCGCAGCGCACGAATATTAAACTTGCTGAGAAACGAGAAATCCGCGCTTGTATTGGTGTTGCACGGCTCTTATTCATTCTCTCCGTCTCCCTCTTTTCTCTCTAGCAAGCTAGTCTAGAACGTCCTCTTCCTGGCTAAAGGGAGTAAAACACACAGAGCCTAGTTTGCACGGAGGCTTGTAAAAGCTACTCTATCTCTATCTCTCTCTCTCTCTCTCTCTCTCTCTCTCTCTCTCTCTCTCTCTCTCTCTCTCTCTCTCGCTCTCGTATATCTCGCCCGTGCACGGGCTTTAAGTCGGCTCGGCCTCACAAAACGTTCCGCGATCGAAGGTAACGCCGAGTTTGCCCGCGAGGAAATTAATTGACGCGGTGAAATTAACAACGGCATACGAAGCGCCCTCTTTCGAGCGTTTTATTGCTTTCATAATACGATCGCGTGATTGCTATTCTACGCCAGCTTCTTTCTGATTGACATCGTCGTTTTTTACCAAGGTCTTTTAATCCGTCCTTCTCTATTTGTCCTCCTTTCTTTTCGCGAATAAAAGTTTCTATGGTTCGTCCTCCTTGATTAACGATTCTTAGCTTTTTTACGAGCATAAAAAAAAAAAAAAGGAAAATGAAAGATAAAAAAAGGAAGAAGAAAATGAACTTTTACCATGCGAAATAATAGGAGAATAGGAAAAAAAAATTATTTACCATAAAGTTTTATTTCGTGGCACAACCAACGCACGTCTTCGCATTCGCGTAATCGACCGAGGAACGAAGATATTTAACTCGCTAGAATTTTTCGTGGGACTCTGAGAGAACATTTCGACGGGAAATTGCTGAACACGAGGGAGAGAGAGAGAGAGAGAGAGAGAGAGAATAGAGAGAAAGGACGAGAGAGACAAATAAAAAGTAACCAAAAAAAAAAGATAAAGAAGAAAAGATACCTTTGGGTATCTTTAACTAAGAACAAAAATTTCGTAGTTTCTGGATGCACTTGAGCTCATTGCTCCTCCCAATGACATTATTAAAAAAAGACAAAACATTCCTTTTCTTTTAAAGGAGAATAGAAAAGAGAGAAAAAGCTACTTCCTCGACAAGGAGTTGTCCCGCGTAATTTTATAAGACCGCAATCTACGAAACGAGAACGAGAGAAGAGAAGAGGAGGGTGAAAAAAAAGATGAGAAAGAAGTCTCGCAATGTTACTCCTCTTTGAGCAATAGTCCATGTCATCCAACCGGAAAGCAACAATGTTGCCCTGGAAGTTCATTTCTTCTTTCCGCCGCGAGAAAGCCCATCCTCCCTTCCCACCCTTTATCCTGTTTCATCCCTTTCACTCTTTAGCTATCTACCTTCTGCTTCATTGTTTCCGACACCCTCTCGCATAGTCATCAGGATATTATATTACAACTAGAACATTCTCTTTTCTTTTCTTCATTTTTCTTCTTTACTACACCAAAATGGCAACATTCTCGTCAGAAAAGAACCAGGAGTGGGAGGGGTTATAGATCACGTTTTCGAAGAGATTCGACGAATCTGTCTCATTTAACAAACTTAGTCTCTCAAGATGAATCTCAATGAATTCTTTCTAGATTGTCTTTCTTTTTCTCATAATATTCATAGTACGAATTTAGCTTAGAAAATTAAGAAAGAAATTACTCTGGATTACTCTTGCTTTCTTAATTATTAAATCGAAAACAAGAAGATCCTTTCGCAAATGTTTCGGCACTTTGAAAATCGTCTCTAAATTAGTCGACCCTTAACGTCGCGTATTGTTCGCAGTCCAAAACGAGCGCTCCGCCGTGCCATTTTTAGGCACTTGTCCGTTAAATGGACGTACAGTCGGTGAACCGACGGAAGAATAGTATTCTCTCTTTTGCATTTTTTCTAGAGCGCTTCTCGGTCGACTTTGGCAAGACCAAGCGTTGCCCTTTGTTCTTCAAAAAAGAAAAAAAAAAGACAGAGCTTGAATTAGAGAGTCGAGATTTTTCTCTAACCTCTCGTCGAATCGTCGCGTTGTCCTCTCTCGGTCTCTCTCTCTCTCTCTCTCTCTCTCTCTCTCTCTCTCTCTCTCTCTCTCTCTCTCTCTCTTTCTCTACCTCTCCCTTGAAAAGCAATACCATTCCCACTTTCATTGTCCTCATAAATTATTCAGCATAAACCAACGAGCTTACTTTAATAATTTCTTTTTTCTTTTCTTTCCTTTCCTTTTCTTTTCATTTCTTCTCATTTTCTTTATTTTATTTTTTGAAATTTTTCATTAATTCCAACCTTGTGAATTCATTCGTTAATATCCTTTATACAGCTAAGAGTCAACCGGCCATTTTGCATTCAAGCTTTCTCAATATTACGCGAATATTATTTCTATACCCTTGCTCTCTCGCTTCTCCCCATTTTTGTATTTTTTTGCCAAACAAATTTCACGTCAACCTCCGATCTTGAGATTAATATCGACAATAATTATTAGACAAGATATTGGATAGCGACTAATGTTATTTATTTAGCTGAAACAAATTTAACATTCAATTTAACAATGATTATAGCTTAGGCACTTGCCTTTAGAGGAAATCAGAGAAAGAGAGAGAGAGAGAGAGAACATAGTAGCCATATCTTCAGCTCGTGTCTTCTGATAGGTAGTGTAACAATTACACGTGGAATGCGAAAGCATTAAAGGCAACATTGAAGCCAAGACGTTCTCGAAACACTATCTATATTCTCCTTGTCTCAACGTTTCGATGCAACCAAATCTATTCTGTTCTCTAGCGAGGTTAAGTGCTAACGTAAACGCATAGAAGCTACAGCTTCAACGTTGTTCGGCCGATAAGCCACAAGACCGTGCGAGATAATGCAGAATTTGATTCACGTCTCTTTGCGACATGCTATCGCATCCTTATTATCACGATCGTACTACCATGAAGCATACAAAGCCAGATGGTTTCGTGCGCACTTTACGAAAATGTATCATACTTGCTCCCTTGCAAAATCACTTACGAAATTTCGATCGATACTCATCATTGAAAACTCTCTCTCCCTCTCTCTCTACCCATCTATCTATCTATCTACCTATTTATCCATCCGTCTTCCTTCATGGAAGAAATAAAATAAAGAAGATTGAAATCGTAAGAGTATTTACTTTGAAAGAACTATCGACAAATTTGATAAAACATTCGAAAGGACAACGGAAACACTACGAAAAAGGATAATAGCATTCGTTAAGACCAAGGGAACTTGAAAAAACAAGGAAAATTAATCACGCTCTAATTATAAAGGTTTGCTGAGCTCAAGTTAATCCCCCATCCTATAGTTTCATTCACTCCTCTGTTAACCACCTTCGTATTCCCAAGTAGCAACCACCGACGATTATTTCTCGACCGTCGTTGTTCGCTCGTTATCGAACCCCTCGAAAGGCTCCACGAGAAAGCTCTTCGAGAGAGAAACTTGAAGCGCGTAAACGGCAGAAGAAGCAGTTTTTGTCTGATTAATCGTCTAACAAAATATACATTTTGTGAAACGTGAAATAGAGTAGAAGTTTCGATACTGATAACTTTCTTATGTATTAAAGATATACAACGATCCTTTTATGTTTATAGTAACCAGTAAACTTAGTTAGAATATAACCTTCGAATAAGAATTAATAAAAATTTTACATAAAACATGCATTTTATTTATGTACCTAGACCATCTAAAAATTTTTACGATACTTAGAAAAACCTGTATTATATGATTTTCTTTATCATTCCTTTGAACTTTGTGTAACTTTAGCAATGAATATGAACAAAATATGAACTATAAGCGCAATAGAAGAACATTATTTCTAGTATGCGTCTTGTTGAAGCTAACTAACAACTGCCCGTTTCAAAATTTGAGTTTAAGATAAAATAAATTGTATAAATTATTCAAGAAATGTGTGATATAAATATATAACTTACTTGAGGTCTACGTTGATACTTGCAGAAAAATATTGCCTTGAGAGAATTTTGATGCTTACTCGTCGGCGTACAAAGGTGAACTACTGATACGATAATCCTCAAAGTCAATCAGAGGTTTATTTTTGTTGACGTTACGCGTACTCAAGGCCATCGTCGATTTAAAATTTCAATCTAAACGAAAATAATTTAAAAGCATATGAATGTTTAACACCACGTGTTGCGAATCATGTAATACATAATCATATCATATAAATAATAATATAAAATATATCGAAAGTATTAATTTTGGAGTCGTCGCATTTAGAAAGGAAAATTGGTTCGATAATAATCAAACTCGTCGGCATATTTATTTCCGTTATATCATTGTAGTAATATCTGGTGCAATAATATAAGACTATTTCCTATCGATTATTGACCTATTCTATTTTACAAGAGGGTACAACGATAGTATATTCTTAGGAGGTAAGATAAACGAGATGGAAAGAGTTAGGTAGGTCGTCGTCTTTGGTGTAGACGTACATATGCCGTATATATATACGTCGGATAGCTTTCACACCCCCTGTGACAACGTAATGTATTACCATTTACATAATAGAGAAAGAGAGAACGAAAACGAAGGAGGTTTGAAACATGGAAAGGCGGGCGGTCTGGTTTTGCAAGGTATAACCCAACTATATAGCACGCCCGAGAAGCCCCAGACTTTATAAAGCAGGCTACCTTCCTTCTTCCTTCCTCTCCTGGGAATATTTCCTACGAATAAAGGGTTAAAGGGAGAGAAGATAGTCAAAAGAGAATGCGCGCCTGTCAAGGAACGACCGACCCGAGAACATGAACTTTGTTTAACCTTGCGTTCTATTAAATCTTCAAGCTAATTAATCCAGTTAATTGTCACCTAGTACATTTATCGTCATAATTACGTAAAATTATACTAAATTAATGTCGATAATAAAATTTATCTAGTTATAAATCACAAAAATAATATAAATTTATTTTATGAAAATGAACGATTAATAAAATTGTCTGATATAAATTTAGACATTGAATAATTATACAAAAATTTTGGCGAATTTAACGATGGAAATAGCGGAAAAACGTGCTTTCATTTTCTTCTTGAAAAGAAAATTTATTTAATCCCACGCACGTATTTTACTTTTATACAATAACAAAGCCGTACCAAACGAAATATCTCGTGTTGTATAATTTTACGATTACGTTCAAGACATAATCATTATAAAGTATAATCACGAGAAAAAACTTAATGAGGCAGGTACATATACTTTTTTGTCTGAGAATGAAAGGACTTCGCGAAAGAAATGAAAAGAAAAAGTATACGGATCTTTCCTCTTTCCCTCCGTGTCCCTGTAAAATTCGAAACACGTACGCATCGCGAAAACCCACGGCGGCTTTCAGGATTTCTCTCTTGCATCTTGAAATACTCGTAAGGCAACCAACACACGGCTAATGGCGCATGTCTTAAAGAGAATTCTAATTCTAATCGTTCTTTTGCGTATATCCCAACCATTAGTTTTAATCCCACGTTCTTCTATTGCAAAATGCATAACCGCATTGTTTTGTTATCTTTAACAAATTCATCGAAAAGTTTTCAAGTTACTTTCAGAAGGACCCTTGTCTTTTTAAATTTAAATAATATGAAATATGTTTCCGCTAAGGAACACGTATGAATTAGAACCTATGGTTATGAAAGGTGCGGTTGATTCATATAGTCACGTCGAAAGGATCCTCACGTAAACGGGATTTCTCTATGAAATTCTAAAGAGAAAAGAGACGCGAATTCTAAAGAGGTATTCTCGCTTGCCAAGTTACCGATCCCGTTTATTCGGTCGGATTATACACTCGATAAACCAAATAGCCAGTGCAACGTTGTGCTGGCTAGCGGTGCAATCTAATCTAATCACAGCGATAGCCGACCGAGCTTTGGTCCTTCTCCCTTACCCTTCGTCCAGAATCCCGTGTCGGATTATTGGTACGAGAATCCTGGACATTCCTACGATCCTTCGCGATCTCGAAGAGATCTCATATCTCTCTCTCTCTCTCTCTCTCTCTCTCTCTCTCTCTCTCTCTCTCTCTCTCTCTCTCTCTCTCTCTCTCTTTCTCCATTCATCTATACACGTCTATACCTTACAATCCTTTGAATGACCAATTATCTTTATCCTGCGAGGAACCTTTGGAGAAAATATTTCGTGTACTCAAAAGCGTGTTGGTATTTATATTTGATCCAAAAACAAAAGAGAAAAAGAAAAAAAAGTAGAGAAAGCTAATATAAATTAATTCCCTTCGAAATCATTCACGTCCATGTTCTTAACAAGATAGGTTTAACAATTTACAAAATTCATATAGTAAATTTATTACGAAACTCTTATAAAGAAACTATGAATCTTGTTTTTTACCGATCCGCCCAGTTATCTCTACGAGAGGCGTGCTTTATCTCGTTCATTTTATAGAACGTAAAGAACGCGGACACGCGAATTCACCATCGTTCACACTTTTTTCATTCAGGTTCAAAGTGCAACACGTAGAAGCGTAGGAGAGAGAGAGAGAGAGAGAGAGAGAGGAGGGAACTTTTCGAAACGTATTATCTTTTTATTTATTCTTCAATGAGAATTATGAAAGAGACCCTACCTATATCTCGATCCTTTTTACGAATCGATTATAAACCCCTTTCATACGATATCGAACGATTATCTCTTTCAAAGTATTTTCTATTGAGCCTTTGGATCTTACGATTCCTGTCGCGCTACCGAAATAGCCGAATAAACTTTGAAGAGCGCACTATTGAAAATTGCCTGGAATAGGATAACGATCTTAGGGATTTCAATGAAATATATGGATCCTTGTAATCTTATGACACGAATAAGTAGAACGGAATATCAAACGATATCAAAATCGAGGGATTTCCGATCGTCGATTTCTCTAATAGGCTTTTCAATCATTGACGTACGCATATCCATTGCTCGTTGATGCGTGGAATATCGAACTGCGGCCAGAGGCTGAACGCCATCGTGTTTGTTGCATCCTGTAAATCTACAAGAGACCATCCACCAAACAGAGAAATTACTGTCCATTTCGTTGACCCATGGTAACAACCCTTTTATTACTTTTTTTACGATGCCCTCCTTTCGAGCTCGACCGCAAGTTATATATGACCAACAGCGAATGAATTCCCTTACGACGAATCAAAAGTAATGATTCTTTTTCCATTTTTGAACATGAAAATAGTCCAAAGTGGATAATAAAATTTCTTTTCTTTATCTCTTTAACCACTCTCTAATAATAAAATCGTCAGCTTGGAAATTATAATCTATGTCAGTTTCGTAAAATAAATATAGAATAATTCGACTATGGATATTTCAATAAAAAGTCGATGTTAAAAATAACATTCTCTCTCTCTCTCTCTCTCTCTCTCCCTCCCTCTCCTTCTCTCTTTATCTTTATCATCTCGTACACTTAAATATGTACGATCGTAAGAAAATGGAACTTTAGACAGTCGTAATCGATATTCCCTTATATTATACCTTTCCGAATACAACCGAACGGTCCATGCTATAAGAACGCGTAAACTTAAAATATTTTCTGGCCTTCTTCGATTCCTCCGTAGAAACGACAATTTTATCGTAGTTTTTACGATTACTTCGTCTCGAAGTACGTTCAATAACGTAACGAGAATGTTTCATAGACGGTAACGCGCGAATATCGTCATTGAGGACACAAGAGACAGAATGGTCGAATGAAAAATTGAAAGAAATATCTAGAGACTGCTTTCATCCTCTAGATGTTGATTGAACGTTGTCGTTGTCTACAAAAAAAAAAAAAAAAAAGGAAAAAAAAAAGAAATATCAAGCGTCTTTTGACGCAAAATTTTTTCAAAAAATTTCTTTCTATAAATATAAAATATTCTTATAATTATATCATATTCTTTTAATTATCACGGAACATGTTAATCTGCCGGACCCCATTAATCATCGAATCCTGTTTAAGTACGAACTAAGGAACGAACAAACGAACTAATTGTTGGATAAATAAAACTCTAAACGGTTTTAGCGTCATTCGGTAGATAGAATAATTCACGTTGCGTGACCGTTATTAACGCAATCATTATCACTTAGTAGTACGACGCTAGATGTTCCTAGCGTTCCTGAGAGTCTAATTATGACGTATAAACGCGGTTCATCATACGAAACGCGAAACTACGCAGCTTGTGTAGCCGGTACGAAGATTAGAAGGAAATGGAGAAGTGTAGACCCAGGTGGACAAAGAAGAAACAATGAGAATAGAGAGAAAGAGAGAGAGAGAGAGAGAGATAACAAGAGAGAGAGACAACAGAACGCAGGTGCAGGATGGCGAGAAATGAGCTAGTTAAGCAAATTAACCGACTAAGCTCTAGGCGACTAACTTTTAGCCCGAAAATCCTGAACCTCTGACCCGATGCGACCATTTTGTTGCATCAAAAAAAACTTTTTCCTTTTACTTTTAACCTTCCTTTTTTTTTTCATTATTATCGTTATTATCCTCGTGAGTCCTCCTCAATGAGAACGAGCCCTCCACGAACGTGAATGCGTTTCCGTTAGGACATCCTTTTTTACTCGGCCACCTCTTTCCCCTTCCACTAAAAATTCTGCTTCCATTAACGTCCCTCTGCAATGAAATTCATGATTTTTTAAAGATTTTTCTCTAACGACCGTGAAAGATTGTTCACTGGATAAAAGAAAAAAAAAGAAAAGAAAAGGGGAGAGAGAGAGAGAGAGAGAAAATATAAAAAGAAAAGGAACAGTAGATAATTATCTCTATTCATTCCGCTTTATAACTAATGCGTGAAAAGTTTATTTCGTATTCGAATTACAAAAGGACTCGTTTGTTTCCTCTATCCTTGCTAGAACGGAAACGTCTACGGTTTTAAAACAATGGTAATTCCACTTATTCGAAGCAAAGGGTAGCGCAATTCCTCTCTCATCGGATGCGGTCGTTTTCATTTTATTACAAGTTGCAAATGGAAGAAGACTCAAGAGCCGAGTCAGCTCATTTCTTGAGATCTTAAAGGGTTCTCCTTTAAAACTTTCACCCTTCCTCCTTTAACCGTCTAACCATCCACGGTCCTTCTTTTTTTATCGTCAACTTGCAACCTTCGTCACCGTCACAGTTACGAGATACTCGTAACTCCATACTCCCTGTTGCATTTTATTTTATTTTATTTTATTTTATTTTATTATATATTTTTTTTTTTCGAGATAAAACTGACGAACGAACGCTTACGCACGCACCGACATTAACTTTAACATTTTTCTATAGAACCATCATCGTCATTTCCGGAAAATTTTCTTCGAAAAAAATTATTCTACGAAGAACACGATATAGGAGCATTAGAGAAATTTGTCTAGAAAATACCTAATAACTAGAGAACATCTAATATATGCAGATTTAACATGACGCGTCTTATGTACCCGACATTTATAACGTTAAATTTAATGGGGAAACTTACCTAATTGGTTCAAAGAAGTATCGGTAACTCGTGGAAGGAGAAATATACATATATAACGAAAATTCTACTTTCCTAGAAACGTATCGCGGAACAATAGACGGCTTACGCCAAGTCGCACGGCAAAATCTTCAACGATGCGACGAGTATTACATTTCTACGACTCGATGGAGTGTTGAAGCCTTAGACGAAGGAAAAGAGAGATAGAGAGAGAAATGTACATATACATATATATATATATATATATATATATATGTATATATATATGTATATATATATATATATAGAGAGAGAGAGAGAGAAACTTGAAGGAGTGTATCTGGAAAGATGCTTTCCGTGCTTCATTCAAATTGACAGATGCGAAACGACAATTTGTCAGAAACAATTGACGCGAATACGACTGCGAGTGGTAACTCTCCCATAAGATTCCTCGTATTTTAGACAATACGTATACGTATATAAGTATTTACGTATGTGCGTATGTATTTATGTATATAGGTATGTATGTAGATGAGTGACTTCCTTCGCCAAAGTTAAAATTATTCGATGGTTTTCTTTGACGTTATATCCCAAACTTATCTTTCTTTTTGCCAAAAGAGAAGAGATAACGTTCGGCTTTCAAACACGATTTGAAAAGTTCTACTTACGCATGCAAATGAAATTTTTCCCTATCTTTCTGACATGACACTTTAATAAATACACGTATCCATGTACGTAGATTCATATATACATAGACGTTAGCGCGTGCAAGCTCTATCGCGTAGAGGAAAGTTCGAAGAGGTGGAGAAGGAGAAGAAGGAAGAGGAAGATACGTTATCGACACGAAATATTACGATTCTGTTTCGCGAGAGGTTGCATTGCGAAAGAGAGATGCGTGTCGCGCAAACGGCAAAATTTTCTCCAATTTCCGTCAAGCTGAAAAGCCCATAAGCGTCAATAGTTGTTCGGTAAACAAAGCGACGGATCCCATTGTTCGAGCACAATCATGGCCCACTCGCTCTCAAGTTGAATACGCGAATGCACATAAATACTTACGTATGCATAATAACCCTTTGACTGTCACATCCATTTGCATACTCGTGAGAAATATATACTTGCCTTTGCTACCGAACTACATCTACTCTCTCTCTCTCTCTCTTCCCTTCCTCCTGAACCTTTCTCACTTTCCTATGCTCGTACGTAAAGTATATTTATCTTAAACACCACGCGATAACGATCTCGTTAGTCGCGCACAAGATTTCAAGATTATAGAGAGATTCATACGCGAGAGAACGCTAATTTCCTATCTCTCGATATTTCATAGATATATATATATATATATACGTTTGCGTATAATATATACAAAGAATTTATTATTTTAATAATAATAATAATAATAATATGCGAGAAAATAAAGAGAATATATATATATATCACGATAGAAATGTTACTCGCCTACTTTTTAACTGGCATCTATTCTTATTCTGTTTCACGAGAACGCACTTTGGATTTTCAAAAAGTGCGAGCGGTACGTTTCTTTCGACGGAAAATAAAAGTCGAAAGGGAAAGAGAATGTGTGAGTGAGTGAATAAGAGAGAAAGCGAGAGAGGGAGAGGGAGAGAGAGAGAGAATAAAAAAAGAGGGCTAATAGCACGCGAGAGGAGGAACTCTCGTAGAGATCCATACAAAGCCTGGTTTAGAACGCAGCACAGTGTACGACGCGTGGCGCAAAGTATACTCGGTGAAACTCCTACTACTACTACTACTACTACAACTACTATCACCACTACTATACTACGGTATAATACTGTAGCGGCTTGGTAATATGGTGCATTGTAACGTTTTCCTCCTAACAATCTCTCGACTGCACAGTGCACATGCAGATAGATGCAAGGAAACTTCCTATGCCCTTCCACGGTGTTAGACAACAACAAGGACGTTTTACTCGAAACTCGATCCCCTATCCGATCCTCGATCTAAATTGTATCCTTTCTTTGTTTTTTCTTTTTTTCTTGTTTCTTTCTTCTTTTTTTTTTTTTCGTTTGTTTGTTCGTTTCCTTTCGCCCTCTTTTCCAATCTCTCAATCTCCATCTTCTCTCCTTTCTTCTTTTCTTCCTTTCTTTCACAAGACTTTCTTCTATTCCTTTCCGTAAACATAAGTTTTAAACGAATTCGATGGATTCACTATAACAAAAGAGTTTCTTTTCTATGCGTTCGAAGTAGTCGATAAATCGAGCTAAAAAAAAAAAAAAAAAAAAGAAAAGAATAAATTAATTAATTAAAAAGGGAAAAAACCAAAAAGAAGACTAAATGAAAGTTCTCTTAACATTATCGATTATCTGTAAGAAATTAGTATTATGGAACGTTGAACGCGATATACAAGAATCCTTCTATCGATAACAGGATAACAGATTCAGTAAAGGATTCTCTCTCTCTCTCTCTCTGCGAAAAGCTTTGAACAATTGAATACAATGGCTTATAGCTTAACGGCGTGATATAAACGATTGCGTATGTACGAGTTCAAAAAAGTGGGAGGACGTAGTAAACCATTCTATTATTTTCCAATCTCCAATCCGTCGATAGAGCTCACTTTTTCCTATCGTAACTGAAATGAATACATTGATTACACGGTCAAAAAGATGTTTGATTCGATATCGAGTTTCTCTGAGTTGTCCAACTCGCAAAAACGTCCAAGTAAACGCACTCGTGCGTACGTACGTACATGGATGCGCAATCGCACGAACGAAATTTGATTACATTTAATCACGACGTTTCTCTCTTCACGGAGAACGAATTGCCGTTGAATTAATCGACACGTTTCTTTTTTTTTCCCTTGCTTTTCCTCCCTTCCTTTTTATTTTCTATCTTATTTTCTTTTCTTTTTCAATGGACATCGCGAGAATTCAATAGAAAATGAAAAAGAAATGATCTCGTTGAAAAAAGAAAAAAAAAAAATAAAAGAAAAGATTCTAAACAAATTAATCGCAAAGCGACGAGTTTTTTTACTTATTTATTTATTTTTCATTTACGAATCATTAAATAAAAATATATAATGCCTATAATTTTTTTTTCTTAACGACAAGTAAAATATTTATAGAATGATGAAGATAATTGTCTAATAACAGGGATATCCGTTGCATTTAACGAAAGAGCCATTTATTACTTTCGCCGAGCTATCCTATGCACCTTGGTATTTACGGTATCGCATAATCGTGGAAAACGAGACGGTACCGTCATTAGCTCATATTGCAATTCGCCTAGCGTGGTAAACGCTACATCGCCAACATAAACGATCGATCATCGACGTTGTTCCGTCCTGGCTTTCATAACAATCCGTGGAATTATCTGAACATGATGATAATCGTACTAGGTACTTCATCAATTATTCCTCGTAGTTGCATGTTATTAAGGTGGCTCTACGACGAACGATGATCTTGCAATGAGAGAGAGATAGAGAGAGAGAGAGGGGTGGAGGGAGGGAGAAGAGAGAGATGGCCAATTAACAATAACGATTGTACATAATATTCGCTAGGAATATTATGTCAGTATCCAAAAATTTACATAGATAAAATATATATAAAAGAAAAAAAAAAAAGAAAAAATACAAAAACATCTGACGAACGAATTATTCGAGATAAAACAAAAGCTAGTACATAATAATCGTGGGATTAAACGATCGAATATGTCGGATTTTTGATCGTAGTAATAAATTTCCATATGAATTTGTTGGTATGATCGGCTTGTAAAATGCACGATCTCTCTTGGTCAGTTTGTTTGACGGGAAAGAGGGAAAGGGAGAAACCCATTGAATCGTACAAGGATCGTTATGACGATTGCGTGTTCGCGAATAAGAGCTTTCCTTTTTTTCTTCTTTTGTTTTTTTTTCAACGAACGTTAAATGCCAACGCGTAAACAAGTAAGGTACGTTATTTGTACGGGGTAATCTTTCTTTTATCTTTTTTCTTTTTTTTTTCTTTCTCTCTTTTTCTATTTTATCGATATTTAACGCGAAAATAATCTCGGTCGTTGCATATTCGAAATACCTTTTAAAACCTTAGGGAATTAGAAACAGCTGGAAAATCTTGGCGAGTTAGGCAATTCGAAATTTTTCGAGAAGAAAAAAAAAAATAAACGAAGGAACGCAAAGGAAAAATCTTCGAAAAGAATCGAAAGAATTAAAGATAAGAAAAAAATCGAGGACGCCGGTGGCGTTTAAAACGTAAAGAAACACGAGCGTTTCTTTTTCTTCTCGTTCATCCCCCGACTCACTCACACACCCACCCTCTATGTAGGGAAAGAATCTATCCCTACTCCTGTCCAGCCTCTTCTTGTTTCTCTTCTTGCTTCTTACTTTATATGAAAAGAGACGAAGTAACGATGTAGAGAAACTTTAATGGAGAAATCTGCACCCATGTAATCTCCATCCGCAATTTACCTTTTAAACGTTTTCCAAGTTTAAAATCGGTCGAGTGAGAAGAGGATGGAGGGTGGGAGGAAAGAAGATGAGATGGTACCTATCACTCAAAAGTAATATGCCGACCAGTAAATAACCACGTGAAATGAAACTTGTAATTTATCAGAGGATATCCAAATGTCCTCGTTTTTAACACTCGTCTTCTTCTAATTCACGAGTATATGTTCCCAGTAATATGATTTTGCATTGGTTAATTAACCCGCACTTGTACATACGTGTATATATATATATATATTTCGAAAAAAAAAATATATATATATATCCGATGTTCGTTTTTTTTTACGAAAAATTTTTCCCTACGAGCCACACAGCTTATTCGACGAAATTTCATTTTGAAAGAACATTTGATGTATCTACGTGAAATGACGAAAAAAAATTTGTCCGATCTCATAAACGATTTCGCCGTTCCATTCTCTTCTAGCGAAATCGTCTTTTTGTTCCCACAACCAAAATTTGTTTCTCATTACTGCGAAGCAATCACTGGGATGTAATTAACGAGAGAAATATGTTGCCGAGGAAAAGGCGAACCAGGGATCCGGTAAAAAAAAAAAAAAAAAAAAAAAAAAAAAAAAAAAAAAAAAAAAAAAAAAAAAAAAAACAAAAAAAAGAAGAAAAAAGAAAAAATACGTAATATTACGTACTAGTAATACGCACGCTGTTTTACGTAATCTGATCGCAATAATTAATCGTTCTAAGTTAATTACCATTGAGAATATTCCAAACGTTCTATTATCACGTCGAAATGCATTTCGCTTCGCTTTGCATTAACAAATTTGAAAGGTGAAATAAGTTGGATAAAAAGATATGATCATTTAGAGAAAAGTGAGAATAGAAATATTCTTCTGAAATTATTTTCTTTAAATTTTATTTAATCTTTGACAAATAAATAACGCGATAATGATGATAAGAAAAGAAACAAAAAAAAAAAAAAAAAAATATATCGAAAGATTCGTACGATCGATGAATTATCTATCAATCGACATAAGACGAAGCTATATCGTTTTCTCGATGTAAATCATTCTCTTCTAAATCATATCAATCATTTTTATTTTATCTTTTCGAAGCTGAATCATCGAACAAAAAGGATAACAGATTGATAATAATCCGCTTAATCAAATTTCCCTTTTTCTAAGGGACAAAGTGAGCTGCTCGAATTTGCAGCAGCTTTGTCATTCGATAAAGAGAGAACGAGAGGAAAGGGAGAATAAGAGAAAGAAAAAGAAAGCCAAAGTGAGACCGAGTGGGAGATATAGAGAAGAAAGGAAATGGGAAGAAAAAAAAAGGAAGGTAAAAGTATTTCGCACAGAGTCCGATGGAATGAGTATTAAAACGCGTTTCTCTCTAAAAGGGAAAATCCATTACCTTCGTACTTGACGATCTGCATTTGCCGGCTCATAAGATACTGTAGCTCCCTGTGTACATCAAACTTGTGTCTTGCTGAATGTATATACGTATATTCACATACATTTTATATATATACGAACTCCAAGTTGAATTAATTTTGGTATAAATCTTCTCTAAACCAGTGAAATGCAAGTCTTCTATAATTTCATCGTTAATCGTTTGCTCGTATTAACATTCATCTTTCGACTGGTTTAAATTTTCAAACGAGTATACAGACTTTTATTACAATTTCATGTAACACGATGTAATCTCTCTGCTATAAAAGTTGTTACATGAAATAAAAAAATATTCCAATCTGTACATCGTATTCGTCACAATAAATTTTCAAATGGGAAATCTTGCGACGTTAATCCTATTTTCGTAGCGGAAACGATTCAAAAATAATCCGCTCAAAGTTTTTCTTCTTGTTAGATGCAAATGGTGCCATCTTACAAACATTCCGTCAAACTTGTAGACATTTTTACCGACTGGATGTACGCACACAGTCGGTATAAAAGTGCTCTATTTTATCAACAATTAATCTAACTAAATAATAAAATAAAGAAAGTTCATATTTACCGATAAGGTAGGAATCGTTCGAACGAAGCTCTCGTGATACGTCGCCGCGTGAATCGAACGATTAACCATAGATAGTTACCAAGTATAGATAGTTTTTATTTTTATTCATTCATCCTCATCTCCCTTCCCGTTATATTTTATTTCTCTTATATACGTAATCACACGCTATCAGAATGACGACGATACATAGGAAAGATAAAACATAACTTCATTAAATATTGTAATAAAAATACGAATGATCGTATGATACAGGATACACAGCGCTAAAATCATTTGCTAAATATTCTCTCCTTCCCTCTCACTCTCTCTGTCTCTTTCCGCGTATTATAAATTTCTTCAAATGCCTTGTCCCCAATTGACGTCGCATTTGTAATAAACGAATATTTAAAAATCTATGAAATCCTGATTGATTTAATTTTGTCTACAACATAAATAAAGAAAATATTATAACGAGAAAAGATATATGTAAAAATTTTTTTTGTCTAAAAGGTATGACAATGGTACTCACGTAATTAATTAACAACGATCATTGTTCCTTCCTTTCACTGGATAGGTATTTCCTCGAAATCAGGATGACTAGAGATACGATGATTTTTTGGATTGGCCATCCTTTTAAGTACATAATCGGGTATACTTTTTTCCGCAAGATTTTCAGTACCAGGTAGAATCATGCGTATCTGAGATTTTTCTTCTAAATTTTGATTGCCTGGTAAGCTATCGGTTTCGACGTCATAAAGATGAGATATTGGTAAAGCTTTTTCATTTAAATTTCTCGAACCTGGAAGACGAACCTCGACGACTTCGGTGTCATCGTCCGCGTCATTACCTAGCGTGCGGAATTCACGATCCGTGAGCGGCTCGTACGGAACGGCGAACGTTCCGTAAATCCCAAGAAACAATATAATTATCTGCGAATATAAGATAAAATATAAACATGAAAATCAAAGGAGCTATAAAATCTCGTGAGACACGAGTAACGATTGATGAAACGAAAAAAAAGAACGGGGGTTGAAAAATGATCTTACTTGACTCATTTTTTATCATAAAATGAAAAAGATATAACGCTACATGTTTCGTGACAGATATCTTTCGTTTGACAGAAATCTAGAAAGTCTGAAATATCTCAAATCACTTCTACACCCACGTCGACTATTATAATATAATAAATTCTATAGCATTCCACTTGACCCAAATGACGCATTCTCGAATAAAAGATGGGGACCACCATTTTCTTAACGATTACAACCCCGATCATATTTTTATATCGCCAAGACAAAACGCAAGAATAATTATAATTCTTCCTCGCGATAGAACATTTACGAAAACTTAATACACGCGTACACATACATGCATGCATACTTAATAAACAGAATTTTTATCTCCTCTTTTAATCGATCTTGACCCCATTAGCCAAGAGATAAAACGCAACTCTCTCTTTTAAAAAATTGATCTCTAACAGAAAAAAAAAAAAAAGTCAAACGAACAAGAAAAAAAAAGTGAGAGAAAGATAATTATGCGAAAGATGAATTTTTTCGTTTCTAAATTAAGAAATCATTTTTATCCTCTATCTTTCTCTTTCTTTCCACACGTCGTCGTAGAACGTAGTACACAAATGCACAAACACATCAGATCTAATCATCACTTTTGGCTTTAACCATTCAATCTCACTTCGAGATAATTATTCACGTCGAAATTAGGCATTCTTTGAGAATCTCTTACCTCGATCATGTTCGTTCGAAGCTTCGAGTCCAACTATCCTCGGCGAATGGCACGATGACACTTTTATATGGTTATACGTATACGAGTATGTATATACACAAGCAACGGCACTGGTCTTACAACATGGATCAACGTTTTATTTTGATGAGTCAAGCGGTTTCTCTCGATGACTCTTTCCTCGGCCTCTACGATGAGATTACTTCTCCAAATCGTTTTTCTTACGACTTATATCCGACTTAATTGCCATCCACTTCCATTCAACGCCCCCATAATTAATTCGATTAAGTTCTTCCACTTCACTGTTATCTTACCTCGATTTTTTTTCTTTTTTTTTTTTTCATCTCCAACGAGTACAGCTAATTCTACTAGATCGACGCTTCATATGCTAATGCGTTTAACAACTATTCGTTTTCCATTTTAATCTGAATCTAATCGACTAATGAAACAAAATAATAACGACAATTTCATTGAAACGTAATAACAATGACTATCATTCGTTTATACGAATAGACACGTGACGATCACATTTTGTTTATCGGGAATAATGTGCATTGCGTTAAATTCATGTGCATAAAGAGAACGATCGCGTCGCACGTGTCAGTACGTTGTATTTATAACGATCGTGTCCGGTCGTTCTGTCGAATTACGTTTTCAGAAATTTCCCACATTATGCGTGTGTCTTATGTTTTTGACCAACGACGCGCCCTGGCCAATTCCTTTGTTTTCTCTTTCGAGCTTTGTTTCCTATAATGCCTCCTATATATACATATATATATATATAATTCGTAATTTTAATTAAACAACGAAGAGTTGACGACGCGATCGATCGCCAATTACAATAGCTTATCGAGACTTAAAGGATGGTAGAAAAAAAAAAGAGACAAGTATTATTTATCATTATGTAAAACGTATTTTATTGTTTTCTTAAAAACGTATTAATTCGTTAAAACGCGTATGTATTTTTTTTGTTTCTTCGTACGTCACCTTTTTTTTTTTCTTTTTATCCCCTTAATTATCACAAATCAACGTATTTGCACGCATCATTTCGACTCACATTATTCGGCTTATTTCGATCGAACGTACGTATGTATTATCGGACACCTTTATACCGCATATCGTTTTAGGCGCATATATTTTAGGAAGGTATGTTACATCGAGAGGAGTCAAGGTTACACACAGAAAGAACGAACGCATACCAAAGATACGAAATTATAACTCGCTGATAAATAAATGCTCAGAGAGAGAGAGAGAGAGAGAGAGAGAGAGAGAGAGAGAGAGAGAGAGAGAGAGAGAGACATGGCGAATTGAATACAATACGATATCGTCGTCGACTAAAATTTGCGTTTAAATTTATAGTCCTCACGTGCAATGAGTCTTAGCGATCTTTGTAACGATAACTATATATGTATCTACATATGCATGTATTTTATATCTTTAAAATATAAATCGATAAGTTGGAATCTAACGCACGTTCGATCGAATCAAGAGAAAAAAAGAGAGAGAAAATATTACAACTTTCTTCTATTTTCAACTAGTCGAGGCTATATATAAAATACAGTTAAGCCCGAATTAGCAACGAAATATCGATCGACGTTGTCGACGACTACGTTTACGGTACATCGGCCGATTATTGGGGTTGTTTCGTGACTCGTATAGAAAGAGAGAGTGAGCGAAAGACCGGGATTCATATTAAACATAGAAGACAATCCTCCTCTCCGAATGACGTCGCGGTTACGATCTGCGTAACAGTTCGATCGAATTTCTAATACCGAGATACATATATATGTATGTACGTACGTACGTACGTTGAAAATCCTATCGACCGTTTCCAAGGATATAAATATTGTTTCCCGAAAAGAAATAAAATTAATGGGCCGTGGTGGCGTCCAATGGTTGTTTGTCTATTTGTCGAAAGTCGAACGGCGTTCACAGTTTATTGAACGATAGTAGCTGATGCGCGTCATTGCGTGCCTGTTAAATTATCCTTCTCTCGAAATTCAATCGTATCTGTTCCATCCGAGAGACACGTGCGAAGGAACACATTCGAGTAAGTACATAAATACTTACATACATACGTGCATACATAGATACGGCGATATGTACAAGAAAGAAAACAAAACAAAAGAAAAAAAAGAAGGTCCGACCTAAGAAATTTTTTCTTTTCTTTCTTTTTTCAATGATTTCTTCACCCACAGAGACTAATCCTCCTCCATTCTTGTTCTTTTTTTTTTTTTTTATTCGATCTTTTTGATGTTAGGATAGATGAAAGAAACTGACGTCATTCGTCGATATACTGTCGATGTACGAACGGTGACGTCACGCAACCCTCTTTTCTACCTTCCTATCCTCTTTTTCTCCCCCTTTTTCTTTTTCTTTTCTTCTTTTTTTTTTTCTCTTTCCATCATGTTTTTTTCCACGTTTTTTTCCACTTCGATACCTATCCGGCGCCTATGCAAATTATCGACCCTACCCTCGGCATTGAGCGAATCTCTACTAGACATCAATGACGTCATTATTATATCCTTCGAACGGTACATACATATACGTACATATATATATATATATATATATATATATATATATATAAATATATACACGTGCATACGTGCATATCACGTCCTCGTCCTTTTATTCACGCTCGTTGCATCATCGGCGGGCCTGCAAATGTCAATGTTTCATTGTATTCATCGATGTTCGTTGTATGGAGGTGTAAAGGAAAAAGAGAAAAATAGAGAGAGAAAGAGAGAGAGAGAGACGGACAATCAGAGTGTGTTATGTGTAGGCGCTATGAACTTGGCAATAGAATGGTGGTAGCATCTTTATCCAAGGATAAATTCGTACCTAACAAATTCGTTCTAAAGAGAGAGAAAAAAAAAATTTTAAAAAGGAACAAAAAATAAGGAAAAGAAAAAATAAAAATTAAAGTCACGTATAAAAAGTTTTAAACGAACACTTTGATATCTCTCTATAAAAACGTCCGATCGATATGACAACGCTTACGTTTGTACGCATCTGTATATATATATATATAGAGAGAGAGAGAGAGAGAGAGAGAAAGAGAGAGAGACGCGCTTTACTTGAGCATAGAATCAAACGAAAATAAATGGGAGGAAACGAATGATTAATTTTTGATTAGAAATGAATATGCTCGTGCTAGAACGTCAAATTCTATTCTCCGAAAGAGAGAAACTCGATTCACTTTAATCTCGTTCTAGGATCGTTATTTAAATTATATTCCTGGATATCCATCTGGCGCGAGAAGTACGATTTTAGATCGGTCGAAAGCATCGCTAGGCGAACTTGCCGAACAGGTTCCAGATCTATTAATAGATAGTTAATTCTATATGGTTTATGAACTTGTTCTAGGAGAGCGACGAGTCGATGTACCGTCGTTGTCTCTCTGCGGTCGGTCACACGAAAAAGAATAAAGTGAATCTCCTACTATTTATATATATATATATATATATATATATATATATATATACTACGTATACATATATTTTGTGTATTTATAAACATATTATTTATATAGATAGACAGGAGTATACCGTATACTTACATACGTAATTAACCGCGACATAGTAGCGGCTTTCTCGGACAAACTCCTCGGCGTGCTGCCAAAGAGTTTCAGTTCGATTGTCAAAGAGGTTTCTTTGTTGACCGTCTTTAAATCTCTCAACTGACCAATCGACCACCATTCTCTTTTCATGGAACAAATCTCCGTACCTATGTATACGTACATGCATACGCGTCACCTGTTCGTGCAACCGCGTGTCATTTAAATGTTTCAAACGAATGACGTTCTTACGGGAAATGGGATTTTTTTTTTTTAAAGGAAATCAAACGACAAGAATCTTCTTTAATTTGTCTCAATTCGGCTTACCGATGTTTTAATTTAAAAATTACTTTTTTTTTCTTCCTCTTTGAAAAATATATATGTATGTATATATCATACATTAGGTATATTTATTTTAACTTAAGGATATAAAATAATAAATATGAGTATTTCGAACGATTCGCAAAAGCGACGGGAATTATTCGTATTACCATTTCCTATTTCGGTACGACGCATTAATTAAGAATTCATTCAATTATCCAAGTTTATTTCGTCGTCAATGAACTATAATTATTTACCGGAGAGATTCGATTTATCCCTCGGTGCATATTGTATCGTCTCTGTGCCTCGGTTATATAAAAAGAAAACGTTGCACCACTTCGATATTAGAAACGCGTGAAAATGGAAATCCCATAACGCCAACGTTCCATTAAGTTAATGACACTCGAGTCGTTTGCATTTATAGAGTTCGATTTTCTTCCAAATTCGTCCGAGACCAGACGAATGAGAAAAGTCTCCTCTGAAATCGTTTTTCACTGAATGCAAATTTTCAGAATTTATAATTAATACGATCGACGTTTCGTCCGTAGGTATCTTATTATAATTCCGTTCTATATAATCAAATGTGGAAAGTCAATTCTAGAGAGTATATTGGAGAAACTCCAGAAATATACACGCACATACATAAGTATTCTACAGATATGTATCATAAAAATCAAAACAAACAACGCCTTAAATCAAAAGAAAATCTTAGTTGTACTATTTCGTCCGCTCGGTAGAAAGGTGTACGCGTATATATCGTGCGTATAGAATATCCCATCTCGAAATCCTCTTAAGAACGATAACATTTCTTCTCGCGTTTTCTATTGCAACAGAAATTGAATCGATCGTTCTCTATCGTTTTCTCTTTCTCCCTCTCTCTGTTTCTACGTCTTGTCTTTGCCGCGCGGGCACGCGAGGAAGTGATAACAAGAAAACCGCTGACGTACGTTTGGTAAGGCTAAAATAAGCATACGCATTGGTATATATGATAATTTATTAGGGGTAACAGCGATATCTGTCGGTAAAATTGGAGAATGATTTCTCGCATCTGATATTTTTACCATGTATTTTCGGCCAGGTGGCCTAATAAAAGAAGAATTACAACTATCGGTACGGAGATGCGATCAAAAGCGCCAAAAAGCGTGTGAGAATTTGTTTTCGCTTGCTCCAAAGAGGCAATTCATTTTCTCTCTCTCTCTTTCTCCATGCTACCGATCCATCAATCCACCCACGACACGAGACAAAATTTTCACCACTGGCTAAATAAATCTTTCTCGAAATTCTGAATTTTCCTTTTATCTTCGCAGAAATCATCTTTAAATCAATAAAATGGCAAGGTCTGCTGCTAGCGAAGAGCAACATTTTGTCGAAACGCTTAATTGTATGATCGATAAAAGCGAAATGCGTTAAAACGTTAAAACGTTTATTGAGAATTATTCCGCAAAGGACGATGATTCCTCTTTTATAGAGAACAATGTTTTTGAGGACGACGATGCATCGATAATCTCCGTGTCTTCATACTCTTCTCAATCTTTAAACTCTTTGTCCATCTTTCATGTTCCCCGATTGGAAAATGAATCTTCTTTTTCAGAATTGGACGATTATATCGAGGATGGTAAATCGATCGATTTTGTATCTTCTTTTGTACACAAAGTCATCGTACTCCTTTCATTACGAAATCTCGAATCATTTTCTATGTTTAAATGTACGTGTTTCTATTGTTAGAAGGAAATATTTCTTTTTAAGAACAACATGCGTGACGTTGACGAAGCGTAGGTAAAGCCGTGACGTTAATAAGTAAACGGAAATCGATGCTTAATGGTTCTCCGTAGCCGTGATACGGAGTAAAAGAGAATCACTTTAACGTTGCCTATACGTTCAAACGTGAAAGAAAGAACTAAAGAGGTAGGACGATAAAGAAAAACGATATAATATATTTACGCCTCGTCGCAAAAACCTTTCTCTGAAATCCCATAATATTGACGACCCTTACGTAATCGATATTACATAAGAGAAAATGATATCTTTTTTCTTTCCCTCCTGTTATCATCATTTATCCTTACTCTTCTCATTTTTCTACGAATTTTCATACATTTCAAATAATTTATTCGCGCCCACGTTCCTTTCGAATCATATAAACGAAAATCCATATCGTACCACTACTCTCCGATGTTTATTCTAAAAGATTTGAAAGAATAGAAAATTTTTATTTTGCTCTCCACCCCCCTCCATTCCTTCGCTCCCAAGATTATAAGTGAAAATTTATTTTTCAAGAAATTATTTTTTCCTTTGTTTCTTTTCTTCTCTTCTTGTTTTTTTTCTCTCTTTTTTTTTTTTTTTTTTTTTTTTTTTTTTAACAGACGATACCGACAATTATTTCGATAAGAGCGACGATTCGGACAACTGATGCATAATTTCATCCAACAGTGATTACGTCGGTACGAGCAACAGCAACGAAATGAACGCCAATATTTATCCCAGCGATCATTCGATTAATCCTGCGAGTTCCTTCCTCTTGGATACGGACGACATTGGATTCCCCATGTCTATGTCTGGAAACGGTTCGAGTGTCGTATCGTCGGACGATGAATACTTCAACAAATACATATTGTCATTGAAGGAGTGATCAAGTTGAAAAAAAGAATTTTTCTTTATTTTCAAATATTGTTGAATATTACGTTTCTTTTTTAATCATATTAAATAACGTATCGTTTTATTTTGTTTTCTTTTTTTCTTCTTCTTGTTTTTTTTTTTTTTTTTTTTTTTTTGTATTTCTCTTCTCAGCTCAATATTATCCTCGAGAGTAAATATATCCATTCGTTTTTTATTCTCTAATAAATTTGATTACTCGTAAGAGAATCACTTCGTTACGATCTTTTCGATGTTAAACTACACGAAAAATCTTTTCTCTTTTGTCTGACCTTCAATAAACAGTTTTCAAAAGGCGATCGTCTCTCTCTCTCTCTCTCTCTCTCTCTCTCTCTCTCGATATCTAAACAATAATCAATGGTAGAGGTCGAACCAATCGTAGAACGAAGTTTCCGTTTAACAGGATGAATTTATTTGTGGTACGTATCTCGTGTTGTATAAGCGGTATCAAGACGAGTTGGACTTTGATAGCTTCTTAAATCGATCTAAAATAAAAAAGAAAAGAACAAGAGAGAGAGCTCTTTCATCCTTTCTTTTTGTCTTACGATAACGCGCCTAAACACTTGGCCCCTGGCTATTACTACTTATTTATTCATTGCGAATAAACAGAATGTTTTTAAAAATAAACCTCCCTTGATGCGATACGATACGATACGATACATTGTTGAGGTAAGCAAGCAAGAAAGTACGTTTTCTTTTTTTATTTCTTCCTTTCTTTTTTCTTCTTCATTTTCATCGACTCGTCTTGAAAACGAGAAGATACGTGTTTTATTATTTATATTTGGAACTTTCTGTTTTCGATGGTCTTTTCATTCGGAAAGTAACAAGAGGAAGAGAGGGAGAGAGATAGAAATAGAAAGAGAAACAGAGAGAGAGAGAGAGAGAGAGAGAGAGAGTTTCAAAGAAAACACATTTAACCTTTCCCATCGAACAAATACTTATTTGTAACCGAATCGCGTTAGACAATCGTTATCCATCGATCCGATCGTTTCACAGTGGAATATATTCAGAGAATGAGCACAAAATCAGAAAGGCATATTGGTAAATTTAAGATTGATAAGAATCTTGATAGTCTTTCCCAAGAAAAATAAGATAATTAATTTTAATAATAAGGCCCATTTAGTCGTAAGTTTAAACGTTTAATTTAAATAAATTCGCAGATCTCGTGGATCGCGTAACATGCAGTTGGATTGTAAATTTTATATTAAACCTTAAAACTCAAGAAGAAATAGCAAAGGATATTGCCGATGGTATTCTCGATTTCAAAGAAGTCGAAGAAATGTTCCCATGGAGATATGTAGAGAAATTACGTCAAGGCTCCAATCTCGAATCCACGCTGAACTTTTTGAACCGGTTCGCACAAATATCTGGTAATTAAATCAATTATCAAAAGTCTTTTCAACTCGTTCGTACCACTCATTCCGTAGATAGGATTTTACATTTTCTTTTTCTTCCCTTTTCGTTCTTTTCCTTTCACAGAAGATCGATTGAAAATGATTCTCGACCATTATTTGCGTCAAAAGAGTCGAAATGATATAATCAAATTGATCCAGGATAACGCTCTTAAACTCGACAAACTCAAAGTATCCTACCTTTGGAAATATATAATGGAAAAGGATGAAAATATCGATTCGGAGCCGTCAACGAGCAGTTCGTTCAAAAATCCTAATGAAGAGATAATCGCTGAGAGGAAAGAATCGTCAAACGTGGAAAAGAAGAGCAAAGAGATGATGAAGAAAGGCGATAATTCCGAGACGTCATCGATCATTGTGTTGAGAAATCCTTCTAATGAACAAATTCTCATTGAGAAAAAAGGATCGCCAAGCGTGGGGGTGAAGAGAAAACAGATGACCACGAAAAGTGATAATTCCGAGACGTCATCGAGCAGTTTATTGATAAGTCCTGATGAACAAATCTTCGATGAGAGTAAAGAATTGTCAAACGTGGAGACGAAAAGAAAACGGATAATGAAAAAAGACGATAATTCTGAGCCGTCATCGAGCAGTTTGTTGATAATTTCTGATAAACAAATCGTCGATGAGATGAAAGAATCGCCAAGCGTAAAAACGAAGAAGGAACAGATGGCGAAGAAAGGCAATAAGAAAGAAACGAAGAAAGGTGATAAGAAAGAGACGAAGAAAGGTGAAAAGAAAGAGACGAAGAAAGGTGAAAAGAAAGAGACGAAGAAAGAGAAGAAGAAAGGCGAAAAGAAAGAGACGAAGAAAGACGAAAAGAAAGGCGAAAAGAAAGAGACAAAGAAAGGCGAAAAGAAAGAGACAAAGAAAGGCGAAAAGAAAGAGACGAAGAAAGGCGAAAAGAAAGAGACGAAGAAAAGCGATAAGGAAGAGACGAAGAAAAGCGATAAGGAAGAGACAGAGAAGAAAGTAGAAAAGGTGAAGAAAGTTCGTATTGCAAGGAAGAAAATGACAGGCGACAAGTTGAAAGATGTGAAAGCAGCGGCTGGTAACGTTGATAATGGAAATAAAGTCGAAGAAGCGATTGAAAAGAACATCTCGGTGGAAGGGAATCACGGAAACGTTGAAAAAGCTTCGACCGAACCCGGTGTATCTACCGGTGAAGGATCACATCAGAAAGGATTAGAGGAATTATCGGTGGCTTGTCAAGAAGATAGCTCGAAGTACGTAGAAAGTACGATCGATGCTGAAAAGAAAATTATCAAGAAACTCGACAAGGAAGATATAAAGGCGAGTACGGAAAAAATAAATGAACGTGTGTCGAAAGAAATGAATTTTCCTATTGATAGTACCTCCTCGAAGAACGAAAAAGAACGTGTCGAAACGAGGAACAACGACGGGTCCGAGGAGTCATCGCAAAAATCTCGGTCAAACGAGAATGTAAATGTTTCCTCTTTAATTAAGGAAAAGCAAGAATTCAGCTGTAATCAGGAGAGTCGTAACGTTCAAGAATACGATCTCAATATCCAGCTCGATTCGAGCACTCCAAAGAAATTGGATAACGACGACGATAAGATTCAAATAAAAAAAGAACCCAAGGAAGAGTCTCTCCTTCATGTAATTTATTATCCCATTGATAAATATAAAGATAAGGATGTAGATCCAGAAAAGAAATTGAATAAACAGTTGCAAGTAATAAATGATGAAGAAGTTTCAAATTCGACAGATTCAGTAAAATCGGTAATCGTAAAGCCGAGAAAAATTACTAAATTTCCCGAGATCGGTGAGCCCGGTCCTGCGACGGAAAAAGCTAAAGAAACAGTTAAAAAATCAAAATGTAAAAAACGTAAGGAAATAATCATCCTAATCCTATCGATCGTCAAAATTGAAAGATTCGTTTCATTTTGAATATTTTTACATGTTATAGATGCCGACAAATCGTTGGAGCAACAAAGAAAACACAAATGTAAGCAAATCAAGAAGAAAGAGATAATGAAACGTGAAATAAAAATTAGAAATACCTTAGAACAATTAAAAGGTCAAATAGATAGGCTGATAAAAGATATAAAATATCTCGGAGGTAAACTTTCGTAAATTTTTTCGTTTATTCTTCCTCTTGGTAATACACTATTAAAAATTATCAAAACTAACTTTTTATCATGACGTATGTATATATATATATATATATATATTTCTTTTTTGTTCTAAAAGAAAATGAATCTTCCTCTTCTTCTATCGATGACAATTCCGAAAAGGATTCATTGAGCTCCTCTTACAACTACATTTCCGGAGGGGAGGCATCCAGCAGCGATTACGATTGCTCTTACGAAGAATCATTGTACAGTTTATTCTCGAGTGATAGTGAAAAATCTTTCGAGAATTGTTCCTATATATCCCCCATGTCATCACAATCTGAATCTTCAGAGAGCACCACAGACACGGAGTACACAATTTGCACCAGTTCAAATCAAAACGATTCTACGAATAATTATACGAGCTACGATTTTTAATCCTTTCGAATGCTCTTATGAAAATTAATCTAAAAATATACAATCATTTTTACTTGGATTTTTAATAACAGTGACATACGATATATTTATGCTCGCGTTAAATGTCTTATCCTATTGCTATTATATATATATATATGTACAAATAATGAATTTTTAGCTTTGAATGATTAGATTATTCTCAAAGTTACTGTAAGTTCCTGTTAGTATATAATTTATTTATTCCGTAATTTATTTTAATTTGTGATAATTATCACGGTTTGTAAATGAATGAATTTTATATCTGTTATTCTGCGAAACGTTCTTCAAACATGTAATATGATCGTCTTAAATTTCTATGAATGTATCATTGTATTAATAATGAAAAGAAGAAAAAAAAAATATTATTCCCAATTCTTGCGTCATAACCGTCAATTTTATTTCCTTTTTCAATAATCGATCAACTTACACCGAAGGTCGTGACAGGTTTGATCTGTCGAAACGATGAGAAAGTTAAATATTTTTTTCTTTTCTTTTTTTCTTTTTTTTTCTTCCTTTTTTCTCTTTTTTTTTTTTACGAAAGAACACGGTATATCTCGGTATCTCGGAGAAATTGCATATTCAGATGAAGGAAGGAGAAGCGAGATGATCATCACGAGACGATTTTGGGGCTCGACGTAAATACAGGTTGCATCAGGCACGATATAGCGCTTCACGGAATGCCCAGAGGCAATATTATAATTATGTTTTCTACAATTCGCAAAACTTCGTCACGGGTTACTCCTATTATTTTTCTTTCTCTTTCGACTTTTCTTTCTTTTTTTTTTTCTACACTTTGTGCGCGACAGTGCATTCAATATCGTTGTTCTGGCACCCAATCGATTCGTTCCTTCGAGGAAGAGAATGCGTGGGCGCTCTGTCTAAATATTTCTGCGTCTCTCTTTTCGTATAGGTATAGTTTATCCTATCTCTTTTTATCTACCTATCTTTCTCTCTTTCTCTTTCTCTTTCTCTTTAGTTCCATTTCGAAAGAAAATGGGAGACATCACGTGTGTGTAGGCTTGGATTTAAAAACGAAGTATTTAAACTGACATCATCGTCTATCGTCCGGTAACGTATAACGAACCATAAAGTTTTTCCATTATTTTCTAATTCGACGAGGATTTCGTTTGAAAAAAAAAAAAAAAAGAAAGAAAGAAAGAAAAAGAAAAGAAAGAAAAATATGTCTATCAAGAACGAACTGTATTTCCGTAAACCTTGCGATGAGATAAGTTTCTCTTACGCGGAATAGACCAGATTTATCGAAAATCTATGACTAGACTATTTCCGAGAGAACAAAGTAGAACACTAGTTTCAAAATTTCGTGATAATCTGGACATATATATATATATATATATATATATATATATATATATATATATATAAATGAATTGATGATAATATATTAGAATTAGGTTGACACTTATTGAAAATCGAAGACACGAAAGAAAGAGATTTTTTTCGGAAATAATGCTCGATCCCGACATTGTTTTTTCCCTGATACGAATAAACGTGCGGAAAGATCCGGAAATATGAAATGAGATTGAGAGAGAGAGAGAGAGAGAGAGAGAGAGAGAGAGATGGAACGAGCCCTAGAATCAGAAATGTCAAAACGTTCTTCGATCGTTCGGAGAGCTATTGTCGTTATAACGGAGTGAACGTGGAAAGGAGGGGACGAGGACGACGACAAGTACGACAGGAAATGTTCGTCCCTATATCAAAGTTCCAACGACATCATCTTTAAAGCTTTGTAAAATCAACGGATTGTCGAGCTTACAGTTTCTATTTGTATCTCCGTTGCGTACTCGTCTTAACGACGCGTTCTTTTCCAACCCCGGAAATCGAGTCGACGTTGAATACGATTCGACACGTGATATACGTAGCTTGGTTATACGTTTGGCTTAACGAACCGAAGAAACACAATCCGAGATGAGGAAAATGACGATGACGACTACGACGTATTACACAATAGCCCTACTTGCATTTAAATTTGCATCGCCACACCGCCGGTTTCTTCTATTTATACTTTAATACCACGAGCCACTTTTACGGTCCAGCGAACTATGGACATATACATATGTACTTACGTATACTTGACATAGATTTTATAAATACTTGCAGGTGCAAATTCAATTACGAATCGGTCACGCATTTTGCGTCAATTTTTTTCTTCTCCATTTTTCCATTGTTTGTCTTTCGATTGTTTTCTTTTCTTCTTTATTTATTTATTTATTTTGTTTTTCTTCATTCATCGTTGAAAAGAAATGAATGCACTTTCGAGAAACGCTGCATATTCTCTGATTCTATCGTTTCTGTTTTTATTTATTCACTGGGGTAAATAAACTTTCGATTAAGAAGAAGAAGAAGAAGAAGAAGAAGAAAGGAAGAAGAGGAAATCTTCTGATTATTGTCAACAGCTGGACCGCAAATGCATCGCTATCATATTCTAAAATCAAATTCCAAGATATTTTCTTTGGCTTGTTACCAGTTAAGTCGAAAATTGTCGATATTGAAATCCTCGCCTAGCGCCGCAAGTTCCTATCGTACGGTTTACTTTGCACAACACGTTTGTGGATTATGAAAATATAATCCTGGATTTCGGACCGTGTCGAACGCCTTAAACCGACATGAGTCTTTGAATATAAGTAAACTAAACGAATTTTCATGGAAGGATTTTAGAGATCAGGAACATAAGATAAATAGAAAAAGATAGATAGAGAGAGAGAGAGAGAGAGAGAGAGAGAGAGAGAGAGAGAAAGATACGCGTTGTCAGCTAATACTGAAAATGTTTTCTTAACTTCCTGCATATAAATTTGTTTACTTACAAGTGTAGAAAATAAAAAAAAATAAACGAAACTCAAATTATACTAATTCTTCGTAGGAACGTTCGAAACATTTTTTTTTTTATACGAACCTAAAAATATTACAAATAATAAAACAAAGTTTGATATTTTTAGGCAATTAAAAAAATAGACGATCAAATAGTTGATTAAACATGCAGCACTTTAGTCTAGATGGAAGAGAGAGAGAGAGAGAGAGAGAGAGATAAAAAAAAAGAAAGAAAAAGAAAAAAAAAACAAAAAAAAAATGATAAGAGTAACGAGCGTTATACTCTTCTTACTTCATCCTCGTAGATACTCTTTTCTTTCTCGATTCACGTCTGCGCGTCATGGCGGCGCGTCTATAAAAGCGACGCTGGGCGTCGCGATGCCTTCAGACGCGAGATACGCGCACAACTGAAAATGTTAACGCGCTCTGCCGGCTTCTTTTATTCTCTTAACGACATTTATCTCATTGAACGACGTTGATCCGTCGTCGATCTTTATTTGACAAAGAAGAGCGATTAAGTGTGACAGACATTATTTTCTTTTTTTCACGTGAGAAACTCTCGTATTATTTATTCGTTGTTATTTTTAAACGACAATTGTTCAAGACACAGAAAAAAGAAAACGTTATCTTTAATCCCGTGGAGGATGTAAATGAGAAAGAAGATACTTAGGAAGACTTTTCGGTGACAAGTGAAACGGATACTCGAGTGATCTCGAATAATAAATAATCTACCGTGAAGAAAAATTGAGAAGGAACGAGAAAAGGGAGAGAGAGACAGAGAGAGAGAGAGAAAAAGAGAAGATTCGACGTTTAGCTTGTGCAGTGAATCCCTTCGTGATAATTTATTCGTCTCTTCGATCGTGGTAAGTTCTCAAAGCTTCTTAGATGGATGTGAAATATAATTATATATATATATATATATATATAATATTATGCAATCTGTATCTCAATAAGAAATAATCCTTTTGAAAATGATTAAGTCGATGAATTATTCGATCACATAAATATTCAACCATTGTCATCGCTAAGTATACGCGTCTTCGAGATAATAACTTTGAAATAATTAATAATCCATTTTTCTACTCCTCTCTTTCTCTTTCTCTCTCTCTCTCTCTCTCTCTCTCTCTCTCTCTCTCTCTCTTTTTCTCTCTACTTTCTCCCCTTACTTCTCTTACCTCATCCTATAGAAGTAAAAATATTAGTAGAACATGAGTGTTCAATTTTAAATGCCTTTAGTAAATCCTGCTATTTAGACACGAACGATCAACGTCTGTCACTAATGGAACGTTTGGGAGATAACGAGTCGAAAATTATAGGCTATATTTATGTGATATAATTCCACAAAACGACATGGAGTCTGACGTATTGATAACTGACATCTCGCTTGTACGATATTTTTTTAACAACGATAACGAGGTAATACTTGAAGATTATTGATCGCCGAGGAAAACGATACGAGGTGCTTAAACTAATTCTTTTAAGAACGCGGAAAGTATTACTAATTGGTTTATGTTATCATTGAAGAAACCTAAGTAATTTACTTTGAACGTTCCTCGTATACGATATTCCTGCGAGAGATAATTATTATTGACGTATCATCGATCATCCAGGCTCGTTCAACCACTTGGTTTAACGTTAAATTTGAAATTAAAAAAGGAAACAATTAATTTCTCTCCCGAAGGAAATGAACGATTATGTCAAAGAGTATTGATCGTTAAGACCTTCCGATAAAACGTTTCTATTATATATCGGTCTGTATACTCGAAAATAGATAGCCGATATTTGATTTCAGGTAATCATAAAGAACGTTCAGTTTAGCCGAAAATAAAATCACAATGTCGAATCGATAATCATCCATTTCTAGGACACATTTATCATCCGAATGCAACAAAGTTAACTTTAGCAGCTCATAATAACTCATATAAAGTACGTATCGAGTGGCTCATAAAATCCTTCCGACGAATTTTATCGGGATAAATTCGGCGTATCGAAATATCACGAACTTTTCGACTTTAAATTCTGTCAGACTTGTCGTGGTCAAGTATAGATGATCTATTACTCGTAAAAAAAAAAAAAAAAAAAGAAAGAAAAAAAAGAATATTGACTTAGTCATCCAATGGCGTTACGCAGTCTGCTGATTCACAGCGTGGGTCGTTCCTTCATAAAACGACTCGCTTGTATCTATTCCTATAATTGTCTAGATCTTTTGTAATAAAAACTGACAGGTCGTTAAAATATCAAAGAAAAAAGTGTCAACCTGGAAGACATTGTTTAACAATAAAAAATAGAATGAGAGTCGAACCGTGATATTTATGTTTTTTGATGAACGAGGCGCATTCATCAACACGTGCATCCTTTCCACGCTACTTAACCCTTTCTCAATCGCTTCATCGGAGACACGCATTCACGCCAAAGAATCACTCTCTTCATCCCTCGCGCGACATTAAAATAGACGCGGTAAACAGAAATGCTAAATATACTTGCGCCTAAGGCTT